TTTTGTTTTTTTTTTTTTTAAAGCAGAAGTTTCGTCATATTAAATAGTTCTTTAAATAAATATCATTTCCAGTATTTGATGTATACTTTTTTTAAATTAAAAATAAAATCTGAATTATGCCCGCTTCGAAAATTCTTGAACTCAAAATGATGGCAAAATGTTAATATAATAAGATAAAATGTATAATACTATGAATAAAACAAAATATATCCTATGAGAAGTTAATTAGGACTGTTTTTATTAAAAAAAATAATGCCAAGATCTCAAAACAATATTTTTTATATATAAGCCAGCGAAAATAAATATGCAACAGATCTGTCAGTTGTCATTATTATTACGTTATTTTAACGTGTGACAAAAACTATAACCAGTGTAAATTAATATTTATATGTACCTAATGATTAATAAAACAAATGTAAATGCATATACATACATAGGTACACAATAATTAATTTAGCGAACAATTAAAAATATTTTTATAATTGATCATGTTTAATTAATTTGAATTTTTTGCTAATTAATAATTATTACCAGAGTCAAAGTGAATCATATATATATTATTATAAATTATACCTATATGCAAAAAATTGCATGTACTTTTGCGCAAAGTACTTGGAAAGGTTAAAAAAAAATATTTCAATCCTACGCTATTATTTCAGTAAAAGTGCAGTAAAGTGCATCCGGCTATAAATGTATAAACCAACCTGACTTGATAAAAACATACTATAATATAATGCGATAATATATCATTAGATTAGATTGGTGTCAAATAAAACCATAGGTAAACATAAATACATTCATAAGCAATTCGCAAGGAGATTTTTGACAAACATAGCCTAATATTTTGATATAAACACACAAATCGCCTACACAAAATACAAATAATTTAGCATACCGATTATAATTTTATAAAAAACATCAAATCTGTCAAAAAGTTCCATCACTGGATGGATTCTTCTTTCAAACATCCAACCCATCAACTTCCACAACGCTTGTACTTATTGTAAAAAAATTAATTTACAGATTGCTTAAATAAATTAGTAATATAACAAAATAAAAAAAAGGTGAGTAAGTGGATGTCACTCTGCTGTACAGTAGGTTACAAATGGGTCACTGTAATGGATGGTGTTAAATTTGAATTCAATGATATATTATCATTGTATAAGAAACACGATTCTGATCGATAACAGTCAGCCTACTATGATGATATTAAGGTGACTAAAGTAATTTATATATAACCTAATTACGTGGAACCTTGTTTTAAATTTTCAATCCTTAGCTATAAAAATTGAACATTTTTAACTACAAAATAATTATTGCATTTTAAATTTGATAAATGTTGTTGAAATTCGAACTTTAAATGCCTATAAAAAAAAATTATGCCAATGCATTTTTAATATTTTTCAACTGCTTTTGTAACAATATATCAGGAGTTGTACATTAAATTTTCACGCTTTTTTAACCAACAAATACAATATTATTGATATTTATAGAAAAAAAAGCTACAAAAATGGAAACCTAAAATGTCAGTAAACAGCTCAAAATATTTTGAAAATGTTATGGTGTATAGAATATGCTAATATAAACATTCAGTCAAAATTGCATGTACCTACAGTTATTTGTTTAAGAGTTGCACTTAAAATCAAAATCGATTTTCTCGAAAACAGATTTTGAGGAAAAATTCCCGTTTTTCCTTAATTTTTCTTAGGTTTTTCACGTCGTTTTTGAAAACTATTGGGAAATTTTTACTTTTGACCCCTTAAAGAACCAGCTAGATCCACTTTACTATCAGAAAAGATACTATTGAAGAAAATCCAAGCATTTTTACTCTCCTAAAAGGTGATTTTAGACACAAAAAAAAAATTAAAAAAAACACCCATCATTGTAAAATCAATACATTCATCGCTCCACTCAGAATCTAATAATAAATAAGTGATGATTGGTGAGGGGTACATGGTAACTATAACGTATATAATGATTGTCAATAAAAAAAATACAATTTAAATATGAATATATGTTTGTATATTATAAGATATTATTTGTCAATCGTCTTGTATAAATATCAAATGTTATGAGGCACACATACTTTTACTAACATTTTAAAAAACCTTATTACTTCTAACGTTTTTATTTCAGAAATAATAAACTAATTAAAATGTGAATAATTAATTTTAATGATGTATCAAAAAGAAAACAATAATAACAAAAAAATTCACCCTACAATCAAATATAGTGTAAAAAATAATATTGTAATATCATCAAAAACTCAGTTGTTTGTAATTACCTCATTACACATACATATGTATAATAATGTATAATTTATATTTTGTATATTATACCTTGGTAAAAGAAAAAAAAATGTTAGGTATATATTTCATAATGTATCGTATTTGTACAAGTATTTAGTATATACCTAACCATTAAGTATATTCAGCAATAACTTCAAATATGTTATTTATTTATTAACTAAATCGACTTAACACGATTATAAAAATAAATATTGTTCAAAGTTCAAACTATTTACACTGTAATATAAATATTGTGCATTTGTACAAATTGTAAAAAGTATAATACAATTTATTATAGCAAATGGGTATATAGTTTAAACATTATAGAAGAACATCAAGTATAATATAGAATAAAGACGTAAAAACGTAAAAACGTAAAAACGATAAAAAAAAATGTCAGGTATACACGTAAGAACGATGGAACAACTTCTCATGTTTATGTCATCAGTAAACACGAAAATGATGTGTACCAAGTCAGACGGCAATAGTATATTATATCATAGAGATTTCTTCATCATATTCTAGGCTTGTGCTGCATAGTGCAAAGTCTGCAGAAATTTTAAATCGTGATATTCTTGCTCGAGAAATGTATAAAAATATTCTTACACTTTAGCACTTTCGACTACCGGCCTAGTAAGTAGTATAGTAACATTGTACTCAATATTATATTCATGTATATTAAAAATGAAAATGTGGAACCACTATAACGGGATTGAAATGTAGGCGATACAAGGAGCACTAAACAGTAAAAAAAAAATGAGAACGTACATCGAAAAATGTATAGGAAAACGTCGTCGTCGTTTAAGAGATTTTTCGTAAATACATTTAATTTAAGTACTAGACCACTGTGGTTTAGTTGTTACATCGGTGCATAGACTTTGTTTGAAAATATTCCGCTTGTAAGAAATATTTTTCACGCCTCTGCTTGTTAAACGTATATTATTATAACAGTGCCGGGTGTTTGGAAACATTCTAAAACACATCGAAAGCCGTTAGAAACGTTGTCAAAGTTCCGACACACACGATATGTGCATTACGCGCATTACGTTATGACATATTATACACGTCGTCGACGTGGCGAGGAAAATATGGACTCTCGGGGAGAAAAAAGGAAATCGGACGAAAAAAAAACCACGAAAATCGGTGAGACTATAATATAATACGATATAGGACCCACGGCCACTGATGATCAGTGGCGTCATTGAACAACTTGCCGGACCTCGTGTGGCATACTACCCGACGACGTGGACACTTACAATGTTATATCATGTATACCTTTTCACAACGCTTACCCCACCTGACCCACGACGGCGAGAGCAAAGTACACCCTCAGACGGATGGACACACTGCAGCAACCGTGATAACAGTTAGGGGTCGGACCGCAACAGTGCTGCAGGGGTATACAATATACATATACATTATGCATGTAGTCGAAGGAGAAGTGGTGTGACGCATTGTCAGCGAAGTGGTCGAAATGGGGGTGGCGAGAGGAGACGTGTGTAATTTCGTCGAAACTACGGAACCCGCCGCGGCGGCAGAGGAGGCGGCGGCAGTGGCGTGTTGCATGTTGTGTTATGGAAATAAATAGCTTTCAATCGACGAGCAGAGCACAGTCCGTGTCTACTGGTGGTAGTTGCTCGTATTATATTATTATATACACGACGACGACGACGACGTGCACATATAATGGAGAGGTGAGGGGTGGCGGCGTGCGTGCGAATAGGGGTAGTTGGCGACCGATGCGGCGGCGGCGGAGGCGGCCCTCCCCACCCTCCCTCAATAACACGACGAGCCTCCCCTCGCTGCCACAAAACTACCCCACCATATATATTTTACGTATAGTATATTGTGTGTAGGGGTTGCGCGCGCGCGTATTTACGAGTATACGTGTGTGCGTGCGTGCGCGCGGGCTTCGGCGCTCGTGTGCGAGGGGCGCACACGACCGTACGCCCGCCCGTCGACGCGGCCACTGCCACCGCCACTGCCGCCGCCGCCACTACCCGTCGCCGCCACCGCGCAACAGCGGGGCCGCAACAGGCGCCGCCGGTGGTGGCGCGCGGTGCGCGCGCACCCAATAATAATCACCCCCTTCGATAGGGCGACACCCCCGTGGCGTGAACGGGGTGGTGGGGCGTGGAGGCGACCGCAGCGTCTGCAACGGCGGCGGTATAAGTGCCGGCCACCAAACATTTCCAAACGCACTCGCGTACCAAACACTTCGTCTAGTCGCTTCGGTGCTCCTCTTCGCGCTATCTCTTTTCTTTTTTTTCTCTCTATCTCTATCTATCTCTGTCTCTGTCTCTACTACATCATCTCTGTCCGTCTGTCTGTCTGTCTGTCTGTCTTCCATCCGCATCTATAAGTTCTAATTTTTTTTTTCCTTAATTCGACAATTATTTATTCATTGTTTTTTTTATTTTTTTTCCTATCCTCCCCCCCCTTGTTCCCGCCGGACCACCGCGATTCGTTCGTATTTAGACGCAAAAGTGCGATCAGACATTGTTGTTTTCAGAGGAAGACGAAGTATAAAAATACATCGTTAAATTCAAAAAAAAAAAAATCGTACGAGTTTAAATCCGTTTCGCGGTGCAAGTAGTATTAATATATTTTCATCGTTACCGCGACTATACAAATATAAACAATTATAATACCGTATCCGTTTCCGCGACCGAATATACCGCCGGCCCGAAAAATCTCGGATGACGGTTGGCCATGCCCCGGTGCCTGATGCCCAAGAAGTGGAAGACCGCCGTGGCCAACGAGTGTTCGTGGGACTACGACAGCAGGCGGCCGTCGTCACCGCCGCAGCCACAACAGCAAACAAAAAACACCGGTCCGCAATGGGAACCGCCGGTGACCGTGCTCTTGCACCACCATCAGCACCACCACCATCAGCAGCATCACGCGTGGGGACCGTCTAGCCCGCCAGCCGGAGCCACCGCGCCGAGCCCGCCACCGTGTTGCACTGGCACGGCGTTTCACTATCTCACAGGTATTTAACAAGTTATTTTCGACTTTCATAATAATATCGATGGTTTAATATTATAATATCGTTATCGCAACATTAATTCGTATGATATATAGTATATATGTATATGTAAATTAAAATATTATTTACCAACCAATTTTGTGGTGGAGTGGTCAGTATGACGAAATTATAATCTCACGTGTAAACAAGAATAGGCGAGTCCCACGAATGCGTTTTGTCCTGCAGTTTATTGTGTTACCTACGTAAAGAATAATATTCAAAAAAAATAAGTTAATCGAAACACGCCAAGCACGAGTTGTCCGCATGCGTTTAGAAATAGTACGTTATAACGACGACAGTATCGCAATAAAATATATCCTTTCGTGCACGCTTATTATCATAGAGTCAAGGAGAAAATACTTTTTTTACATTTTTTTTTCGATAATAAATCAGAGTGTTTAAATAATAAATAATTATACTTCTATGGATATTTTATTATTTCCTTCGACATAGTAGTCAAAAATTAATTTTGCGAATATTATGTAAGTGTATAATATTATGGTAACGGAAGGGAATAATATCGTCTTTCCCTTTAATAAAAAAAAGTTTACTTATTTTTTTCCTATTCAAACCCCTTATTTATAATATTAAACTTCTATTTTTGTAATGAATATTTCCATAATAAAGTAGGTGGGTATATCAAGTTTTGTAGACGTATAAATAATAAACCCAATAAATCAAAATGAATAATAAAAAATGAATAGTTTAAATAAAAAATATAAATAATTGATATTTTCATTCGGATTGATATCAAGTGATTTTAAACAAACGTTACATTTTAATTGAAACAAATGGCATAACGTTAATAAGGCCTGAAACTAAACAAATGTTTTACTCAGTTTTCTTTCAGTTGTACAAGCTACTTTTCATTCTATAATTATATGTATTTTTTTTATCTGATTTTATGAAAAAGCGTATAATTAATTATAGTTTAAGTTTAAAACAATGATACTTTAATTATAACATCAAATTAGTTCCTTCGATAAACGAGGTACGCGTGCTATGGGGATTGTAAAATAATTTAATTTGGAAATAACATTTATGGTTCATAAGAACATTTTCGATGTTATCGAACTGAAAAAATTGATTCGGAAGTCGAGCTTGATTACTTACATTATATTTTTTCCCTTATAAAACTATGGTTTATTACGTGAATTTACTATAATAAATATACTATACCATACACATAAAGTATATCGATAAGTTATATTCGCAAGTCCAATCAGAAAATAAAATTATAGAAAACTAAACAACTATACCGAATAAACGAATAATTTTCGATCCACGTATAGCTCATATTATACTGTTAGAACCATATTTTATTACGTTAATGATTTTAAAACCCTGCATGCTTTTACCTCGTAATTTTGCAATGTTTCTCTCGTACAAAATAAAATTAAAAGCTTACAGTAGGTATAAATTAAATCAAAATAGACTCGCTATACACAATTTGTCGAAGCTTTATAGTAGGTATATAATATTAACCATGTATTTATACGACAAATTGATTTTCAATTTTTTAAAGCTATGCCATTATCTCGTTTTTCCATATTTTTTTCTCGCCTCCGCTACGCCGGTATGTATAGGGTACATAATCATACGTATATTTTATATATATTATTGACAAACCGTTTAGGTTTACAGCGGGTCCCATTTGGCAACAATATAACGACGAAAATAAACCGAATCCCAAACCCTGGTGATACGAGTACAGATATGAACTTGCCCTCCACCCCACCCCGTGCGTGCCTGTCGGGGAGGATAACATGAGATATGAGCGAGGCAATCCGTGAGCGAACGACGAAGAGGGTGCCGATCGTAAAACGGTTTTTGCACCTATAAATCGTGAATCCGTTTCCTGAACGTTTGAAAATAATAATAGTAATAATAACGATGCACCGAATTTCCCACCTTTTTTTCCGAGCATGTATTATGTGTATAATAATAATAATAAACAGCTACCTGTATTCACGCTGATAGTTCATAATACACAATATATAATATATGTCCTACCCATCTCCCAATAATATCGAAAACACGAAATTACAATAATATGCGGTCATTGGATTTTTTTTTTGCGTCCCGTATAATGGCACTTTTTTCGTGGATTATCCCGAACGGAAAAAAACCACAACGGCGCGCGGTTGTTCGAAATTATCAAGGGATCAAAATATAACCGCAAGAACTTAATTTTCCGCTAACGTATGGCGTGTGTGTGTGTGTGTGTGTGTGTATGTATATATTATATACATATACTGGACTTTTAACCCATTAAGTTTCGTCCATCGTTCGCATCTCGCCTACCACCCCCTTCCGTCGTAATAAATTTGTTATATTTATGTCGAAAAATATCGTTTAAAAGTTACGACACCGTTTCCTAATAACGCAGTTATTATTATTATTATTATTATTACTATTATGTAACCGACGGCTACACGAAGTTTATGCGACTAAATCGACAAAACCGCCATTACTGTACGACAATATTACAATCGTATTATTATTACGATGTAGTCGATGTATAGGTTAAGTATTTGGTAGAGGTACCTATTATAGCGGTTCATTATATTATATAAAATGTTTCATCTACATATAAATAGCGTTTTTATTCGTTATTGTGTTAATTATTATGCTTTTGTACAGTTTTCATATTACGTATACACACTGACGACACTTCTACACAAATATAATATTATTTTTGCAATCACGTACACTTTTGATAGTTTTTTTCATAACTTTCTGTTCAAAAATTGAAAAAAAACACAAACTGTTACCTCCGGCAGTAAATTTAATAATATTTGTAGTTAAGTCGAAAGGAAAATATAATATATTTATCTTATTATTTCCGTGGCCATATGGAACAGTAAAAGTATTCCAGTACATTTGTCAAAGTGTATAAAATAAATTTATAATATTATTTATTAAGGACTATAACTCTGCTGTATTCAAAATTACAAAATAAGTGTTTTATAATAATATTATAACAGTTGATATTTTAATAACGATCGAAAACACTTGATGCACCGTTATATATTAGTGTTACAAATAGTAATCCCACATCGAGTATCATACTCTATAATTTCTCTCTCTCTCTCTCTCTCGTTTATACGTGCTACGATAATATATTAAGTACGGTGTTTCGGTTTCAATTTGCCAACTGCAGTTTGCAACCGCATATATTTTATAGTATATACCGTGCAGCACAGATATTTCGGATGATAATATTCATTTACATATTATTGCAAACGAATCGATAAAGAAATACGTATATATATATATTATTCTCAGCCAGCATGTATTGCTATTATCAGTATTGCACCATATATACCAATACCAGTGATAAGACTATTATTAATTTGATTATAATATAATATGATGTGCGTGAAACCATTTACGATGATACGACACATAGATATTGACCAACTATATAGCTACTACAATAATGTATTACATATTATTATTATAAGACATATTTCCGTCGTGAGAAGTAAATAGCAAGCGATGGTGGCGACGGCAAGTCTGCACAGTAATATTATTGTATCGTATTGTTAGTCGGTATAGCTGATGAAGTATCTTTATTTCATTGTCACAATATTAATTAAGTATTTTCCTACACTATAATATTATATATAGCTATACACACGTCGTATTATAGTGGTTATCGCGGACACAAAACGTATTATTTGCAATTCGCGATTGCGTTTTTTAACAGTTTTTTTCGGCAAATTATCGAATTAGATGGAGGGAGAGAAGGGGGAAAAAACAAAAATTAAATCGCCGGTAACCCGTTTCGGCGGTGACGGGGTGAGCAAACAGCGAGCGCGCTCCGATCGCATTAGCTAATGGATTATTTCTTTGCGCAGCGTACACACACGGCCGCCGCGGTCGCGAACAATCGGAGCGGAAGAACCGTCGGCAGAATATTTCCCCGAGCAGAAGAGATAACATTGACGTGACTGTACCGTGGCACGCCGTATAATATTATTATAATATAGCCGCGACGGAGTACGAGCACACACTCGGTCAGTATTACTCTATACTCGCATCGGCGATGGTCGGCGGGTTGGGTGAATGGGTGGGTGGGTGATGTGGGCTGCAATACGCCATTATATTATATTATGCGAATTCCGAACGCAAATCATGACGTTACGTTATATATGTTATACCCAATATCCACATGTACCTAACTCTAAGTGCGTAATAACACTAATATCGTAATAATATTATATGGAGTATATAATATAGGGACCGCATCACGACGACTCTCCTGCACTATACGTTATATCAGTCAGATGAGATTATATTTTTAATATATTTTTTTCTTTCGCATAACTATTCTTCGGATCGCGCTTATTCGACAGTCTTATGTAATAATAATAATACGATATTCTGCTCTGTTCTGAAGCCGATCGTGCAACAGCGGTATACATAATATACTACGCGTATAGACGGTATATTCGCGATTGCTTTTTTAAATTTTTTTTATCGAGCAAGCACAATAATAATTATTATCATACGGTACAATCGATCTGAGAGCCCCTCGTCATCGTCACCGTCTGCATCGACGTGACAATGCACGACGACAACTCGCATATATATTATATTCCTACCTTCCTACAATAATAACGTTATATTATTATGGGATATTGAAAATAGGCCACCGGCGAGGGTTGCACTCCGCGCGAAAACAATACAATATAATATAATAAATAATAATATATTGGTGATGGGATGTCGGGGGGGGTGCGGGTATTGTTCGAACTGGTTTTTTTTCGTCATCGCCGTCCGCGTGTCACGGTTCGCGTTTTTACCCGCACGAGGGGAACGCGGTTGCAGGGGGTCGAAACGCTTTTACGCGCTTGTTGCACTCTACTCTCGTCGCGCGCGCGATCAACAGCTGGTCGATCTCGGCACATATAGCTGCTGCCGCTGCTGTAGATCGGTATACATACACACGCACGCGT